ATTGATCATCTAATAGCAACAGCTGTAGTCCATTCAGCCATTTATTTAAATTTTAGGAAATCTGTATAAATCACTGGTGTATAGCTTAAAGATTGTTCTTTGTTTGGCTAATTAGGTACTGCCCTTGCAGCACTGGAGACTTCTCAGTGCTCTTACTAGATGAACTCAGTCACACCTAAGTTAGGTTGGTTTAGGATGTATGAAAAGCACTCCCAGAGCCCGATGCCTGCTGCTATTTCACAACGGATGAATGAGCCCTTTCCTTTCTACACTGAAGTTTTTCTAATGTATTTAATGTGGTTTATTTTGGGCTCAAAATGGATGCTGTGATGAAAATATTCGTTTGTTAGAAAAGAAGAGTAGCTAGCTACCACATCGTTCTGACAGGACCATGAGCTGTAAGAAAAGCCATAAGAAGTGGTTTCATTGATGTGTCAGGGATAGTTTTTGATTATGTTAACATTAAGATAAGGTGACTTTATTTTTTTCCTGCTTTTAGAGTTGAAGAGATTCTATATTTTTATCATTATAGATCATAGTTACAATGTGTAGTGAGTTCTGCATGCTGACTCAATGTGTAATGAAACCTGAAATAATAAGTTAGTAAGTAAAGCAATAGTTTTCTAAAGCTGTGATATGGGTGATATAGAGTTGGTACTCAAATTATAATAAAGCTCTTCATATTGTGAACTGTAGAACACTACTTTTTATAAAGCCATATTTTTTTTAGAAAACTTAGAAATGACATTAAAACTGATAAATGCATAAAATAAGTTTTACTGGATTTTTGTATATAATCATGTCTAGAACTCTGGAAACTGAGGATTCATTTTGCTGTGATCAACTTCAAATATTTTTTAATTCCAAATATCTGAATTAATGAGCTTTGTCTTTACAAATAAGTGCCGTTGGGCAACATCAATGGATTTTCTAAAAATAATGTAAATGTCTTCTGTTAAATGTTGAGTGCAATAAAATACAGAAGAATTCTTCTCTATATTGTCATTATTTTTAAGTACATTAAGCATTTTTAATTTTGTTGCATAATACAATCAGTTCATTTTATGCTTACTAGTTAGAAGATTGTTACAATTTTGATGAGTAAAATCACAAAGGAATACCATCAGCCCCTTTTCTTAATGAATTTCTAATAGGTAATGCTTATGTAACATATACTATTATGCTCCATTGCCGGGGGTAGGATTAAAATGAAATAGCTCCTGCATCATCCATCCTTTGTAGGTCTTTGTCCTGCACCTAGAAGTTGCAGTTGTTTCCTGGTGAGCACCCGCCCTCCCCCATGGCCATCAAACAGTGAAGATACTAATTTCATTGTGAGTGGGTGGAAGTGCAGAAGAGGGTATGAAAGCTTCTCTTTCCTTTCTCTCCCATTTCCAATCTTCATTCTCTGGACAAAAAAAAAGGAGAACTAGACAAGTAAGGAAGAAGCTCCCAAGGTTCTATAGAGAAAGGGTTAGTTTCACCTCCAGCCCATCCAGAAGAGATAATAAGAATAAAGACTTTAAGGGTAAGCAGACCCACTATTATTGAATGTAGCTGCTCTGCTGAGTGTTCCACATGTGTTAGGAAGTTGAGTTTTCTCAGCAGAGAAAGTTTTCTCAGCAGGTGTTATCCCGGTTTGCAGATGAACAAAGTAAGGGTTGGAGAGGTGGGAGCAGCTGCTGGCCTGTGGTTACACACCTGTGTTCCAGAGCGAATTCTTGGGGAGCAGGTGAAAGGTGGAAGCAATTGGAGGAAGGCCAACGAGCAGATAGGAGGCCAGTAGTGTATATAATAGCTGATGAAACTAACTAGTAACAGGTGATAGCAATACAGCGTGCTGAGGAAATGCTAGCAGAGAGAAGGAGGGAGACAGGAAGGATATGACTTGAAGACTGGGCAACGTGGGTGCTCAGGGAGACAGCAGCATCCCAGGTCCAGGTTTGGGGAGTGAACACATGCCCATGTCATGAGGCACTCAGAAGGGTAAGTATGCCTGGGAGGAAGTTAGCTTAGGACGTGTGTTCCGTCCAACAAGAACTGCTCAGCAGCCAGATGAGCACGGTAGATGAAAAATAATGAGGGTACAGTATATCTGAAATCACAAAAGTGATTTCTTTTAATGGTTGCATGACAATTTTTAAAAGATCAATATCCCACTTTTTAAAGTAAGGTTTATCTTGTTCTGTTAAAATTATGTTGAAAGGAGAAAAAAGACCAATGTTAGAAGAGATAAAGAATGTGTAGCATTTTAATTTTTGAATATGAGTATTTAAACAATTTGAGTTACAAGCGAGCTTGTACTTCTGTAATTTTCAGGGGTGGGCTGAGCATATAGCTCCCTTTAATTAATGAACTGCCCATTATTAGGATATACAGAGTTTGATTAAAGGTAGTATATTAGGAAGTATGGCCTCTGAAATTAGCTTTATTTGTTCTGTAACTATAGACAAGATTGCTTAGCCTCTCTAAGTTTCTATGCCTTAATTTCCTGATCTGTAAAATTATAGCTACCTCCTGTGGCTGACGAGATATTTATATGGGATAATCTGTCTTAAGTGCTTAGAAAAATGCCTGGCATATAGTAAGTGCTCAGTAAGTCATTTTTCTTTTCAGCACAGCATGGTCTGTATGAAGTCCCCCAGAGAAGCATAGGCACAGAAAATAAAGGAAAGTAGCACTTTATTCTTAGCTGTGCAGAATGTTAGTGAAGTTGGCTGCATCTCATAGAAAATGCCTTTACCGAAGCTAAATGTAAGCACTACAAACCAGAGAGGCTACAACACCTCTGCTGCATGTTTTCTCTATATCCAAACATGTCTCAGAGTTCAGCTCATTGATGTGAGGGACAGAGGGGACACAGAATGAGAAAAAGACCTTTTGCCTTGGAGCCTGGAGTGACCTGGGTCCGGCCTGTCACTCCACTTTCAGGACTGCACAGGAGGAGGAGGAAGGGTAGTGGTTCTTGTTTTGGAAGCATATCCAGCCACACTTACCCTTCAAATTCCCAGGAGGAAGTGAGTCCAGAGGACGTGGGGAGACCTGGCCAGGGCCTGGTCATACTGGATCAGCACCTGCCACTTATATTTGGAATGTGATCGATTCAAACCACTCCCCCTCCCTTATTCCCCCCGAGGGGTGGGATGATGTGTGGAGAGCTGTGAACTCCCTTCATGACAGGACCCACCTGTGCTATCTAGTTAAGTTAGAAACTTGCATCTTGTGCTTGATTTTTCAAGTCCCATTAGCCATGTGCACTTGCTGGTGGATGTGGAGGATTGCAGTCTTCCTGCGGATACTGGGGCTCCTGCCAGAAAGAGTTTCAGGACGGAGGTTTTTGATGCTTTTCTACATTGCTGTATCCTTGATTTCTACAGAGTGCCAGGCAAGAATAGTAGGTGCTCAGTTAATGTCTACTGAGTGAATGGTACTGAATGATCTAGTTCAGCTACCTAACTTTGTAAAGAAGGAGGTTGTAGTTAAGAAGATCAGAAATTCTAGAACATTCAACAGAGATCTACAAGTTCATTCATTCATTCTTTTTTTAAATATCTTGCATTTTGCTTGCAGCACTGCCCAGGAGGTATGTGCAGACAACTTTGTGAAACCTACGCTTAGGAAAAGTCAAGACCTGTACTTCTCCATCCCTTCATTTCTCTTTCAAGAAGGGTATGGGGTGGTACAGCGGAAGGAACATATGCTTTGGAGTCATGTAAACTGCTGCCTTGATAGCTTCGGCACTCTAATTTCTCAGCCTCAGCCCCCTCCTGTGCACAGAGAGGGAGGTAAGGCCTTTGTCCGCAGGGTGTGAGAAAACAAGAGGACCATAAACGACTGAGCCTGGTGCACTAGACTTCAAAGTTAGTTCCCTTTTCTTCCTCTTATCTAAAGTCTCAAAGGAGCAAAAATATTTGACCTATAAAAATGTCCTCCCCTGCATCGTGGCCTGCCTTGGATTTATTTTTTACCTCTCCAGATTTAAATGTTTTATATGAGTGAATGTGGGGCTGACAAATCGAGTGGTCCGTGTCAGTACCTTTGACCACATCTTTGGTTGTACCCACATGCTCTGGCATCTACTGTGGGACAGAGGACAGAGTCTTCAAAACTCTGCCTGATCCCTTGCACATGTGTGTATGCACATATTCCTAGAAATACCCAAGGACTAGATAAGTACCTACTGGGGCTGTAATCAACTGGTCTACCTTGAAAATGAATGAGATCCTAATCTACATTAAACAATAGGTCTGATACAAAGTTCTAGCTGCAGAAATGAAGATATAAACACACGGTCATCTCATATGCTGTTATTTTCCATGCTCTGGGTGGGTGTCGCTGTGCTCAGTAACCCCATTCGTGGGAGAAACACAGACTATGATTAACCTCATGTGAGGCATAATATGATGCAGGAGCGCTCTTGGGTTCCTCTTGGGCTTCTCAGCAAGTGAGCTAATGGTGTACGCCTGGGCTTCAGTGCTGGCTTCCCCAGTGATCATCTGTGTGTGCATGTGACGTCCTTAGAGTAGCAAGACTAATATTAATATTCTGAGTACTGTGACATGCTACATTCCTTTAAAGCATACGGTATCAATTATAAAAGTAGTCTTATGGTTTCAGGAGACAGAAAGATGTTGAATAAGCTTTGATATCAGCTTCTCCTCTCCCAGTTTGCCTTTGTATCCATAGAGACACTTGGAGTTGGTGGACATCACCCACTCCAACTGCCTTATCTGCAGACGGGGATCACTTAGCCTGGTGCTGGTACCTACCTAGTCTCTGCTTGGTGACTTTTCTAAGCAATTTAAATGAGCCTAAGTCTTGATAATTTTTTAATGAATGTGATGTGTAAAGAATTCAGGATTTAGAAAAATTGAATTGTATGCTCAGACATATCATTCTTAAATTACATTTATTTGAATTCATTTAAATATTACCTTACATTTTGAGTTATTGAATGATGACTTACACAGTACTTATTATGTTTTGTCTTTAATTTTCAGAAACAAATAAAGTGGATAATCCAGAACCAAAAGAGAAAGGTGAGATTGTCAAATAAACAGCCTTTAAAATATACTTAGGAAAAAGTCATCATGCCATCCAAAAAATAACATGATTTTATTTTATATCACTCATTAAAAGAAATTGCCACTGGGTTTTTTATTTCCATGATTTTATCAACAAATATTTATTAATAACTTACATAAACATTAAGATCTAAGGCTCAGAGAGATTGCCTGGTTTTTAATTCTAGTTTTGTCATTCACTGTATGTATATCCTTGGGAGAATCACCTAACCTTTATGCCTCAGTTTCCTTTTCTATAACATAGAAATAACAGTGCCAACTTCAGAAGGCTGTATTTCCACAATAGTAATTAAATAAAAATATTCATAAAGTGCTAAAGCAATATTTAGCACAGGGAAAACACTTAGGAAATATTAAGTATTATTTATTTTTGATATGTTGACAGCTGTACTAGGTATAGGAATCCAAAGATTGCTAGAACATGATATCTTTTTGCAAGGGACTCTGATTTATTAGAAGGAAAGACATGCAAACACAGTTACAACCTATATAAAGAATTAAATCTGCCTTCTAAAAGCTTATTACAAAGGCATTCCAAGAAATTTAATAACACATAGTATTTTAGTTGAACTCTTCACAGAGGTTCGTAAACTTAGAGTGAGGAACTATTTTTAATGTCAACATTATATTAAATGGATGATCATAGAGTAGTGGTTACATTTTTAGTATCCATTGAATGGTAAAAATCTTTAATGATTAAATGTTATTATAATTTCAGGGATGCCTTTAACTGAATTTGTTGAGATGAAAACAATATCTACATATGAATCTACTTGTACATATAATACACAAGGTGATTTACTTAGTGTGTAAATAATATTTGGTAAACGTGGAGTTGCTGGCCTCTTCCTGCAATTTCACAACCCACAGGTTGAGAACTAGGCATCTGCCTCATGCAATTTTTTTTCCTCACTAGTTGTTTTAAATTTTTGTCGAAGTAGTACAAGGATATAGTTTAAAAAGTTAAGCATTAGCATGAAAAACAGAAGTCGTGTACTCCACTACTCCCCATCCCTGAATTCTACTCACCAACTCTCTTGTAGCTGTTTCCTTCTAGTACTTCCTTATGCATTTCTAAATGACTTGTTAATTCTAGAGTTTTCTCCTCAATATTGGAAACTGTTGGTTGGCTTTGTTTTACAGATGATTGGGATCAGCTCAGTCATCATACTTGCCCAGGCCCTCCTGTGCCTGTCTAACTATAATAGTGATAAATGCCAGAGCAGCAAGGAGCATAGCGGCAGCCTTTGATAGCTGATCACGTCCTCTGCTTCAGACACGGCCTTCACTTGGCTTGCTGGATGCCACATGCTCTTGGTTTTTCTCCTACTCTCTAGTGTTTGCTTCTTCTCAGGCTCTTTGGATGGATACTGCCTATCTCCCAGAGCATTAAAGATTGCTGCATCCCAGGCCTCAGTCCTTGGAGCATTACTCTGTCTGCACGTATTCCCTTGATGATCTCATCTCATCTCCTGGCTTTAAATTCCTCTCCCTATGCCCAAGATTATCACATTTACCCACAGCCTGGCCTCTTACCTGAACTCTAGACTGGTGTGTCCAACTGTCTACATGGTATCGACATGGTAACCTCGGTTGGCTGTCTCATAATCACTTCCAACATAACAGGTCTAAAACTGAACTCCTGATCTTCCCCCTTCAAAATGTACTCCTCCTACCAATCCCTTTCATACCTCACTGTAATTCCATCAGCAACCCTTGGTAGGATTCCTTCACTCCAGAATACACTGAGAATCCAGCTACTTCCTGCCACCTCCACCCACTGCCACCAGGTCCAACCCACACACCATCTCTTGCCTGGATCATTCCAGTTGTCTCCTAACTGGTCTTCCTGCTTGCACCTTGGGTTCTCTATAATCTCTCTCAGTGCAGTAGCTACAATGATCCTTTTTAAAAACCTAAGTCATATCATGTTGCTAAGATCCCTCCAACATCTCCGTATTTTCTTCAGAGCAAAAGCAAAGTCCTTTGCAGTGGTTTACAAGGCCTCATATGATCTGTTCTCTCTTCCTCATCTTCTACATGTTTCCCCTCCAAATTTCATGTTCTGGGATTCTCCCTCTCTCTGCTCCCTCCATTCTAGCGACACTGGCTTCCCCACCAAGCACACAGGCCCACAAGGCTTGCTCCTTTAGTTCCACTCAGCTGCTGCCCTCTCAACGAGCCCCTCTGGCCCTAGTCTTACTTAAGATTGCAACCCCCTGCAGGCCATGCCTTGTCTCCTTGCCGTGTTTTCTCTATTGGGCTATCATCACATAATACAGTTGATAGTTTCATTCTTTAGTTTTTTATTATCTGGACCTCCCACTGGAATAAAATTTCCATGAAGACACATTTTTCTTTGTTTTGCTGGCTGCTGCACCTCCTGGGCCTAGAACCGTGCTTGGCACACAGTAGGCACTCAGTAAATATTTGTTGAATGAATTTCTGTTATTTTTTAATTAATAAGGATGAATATCAAAATACACTAAAGACTATAAAATCCTAAGTGAAGGAGTAAGAGCCGGAACCCAGACGGAACTCCTAGGATGGGAATCTGCGGGAGACCCAAAGCTCGAGCGGGTGGCACTAGCAAGGAGACGCTGTTGCAGCTGTTCTAGAGAAAGCAGACGGCGCGTGGTCTCCTGTGGCTCAGCATGTCAGAGCCCCGTGGTCTCGTACTGTTTAGAGCATGAAACTAACAAGGAAAAGAAAATCTTTATTTAAAAGCCATTTAACCTTAAATTTCGTCATCTAGAAATGGATAGTGATTCTTATGCCTCACAGCGAGTGTACATCGTAGCAGAAAGATAAAATAAATGGAAACAATATCTGTAAATAATGAACACAGTCTGGTACTATTACTAGCTAAGTCTCAGCCTACTATTATTGTCATCCAAATATCTGGACTTTGGGTTGCTTTGATTAGCAATTAAATTAGTTGATTTGGGGATCTAATGTAGGTATGCCAATTTTTTTTTATTTTGTTAGAACATAACTTTTAAAAGAATTCATATCTACTATCTACTATTTTTTTTTATTTTAGCGTATTATGGGGGTACAAGTGTCAAGGTTACATATATTGCCCATGTCCCCCCTCCCCCCTCGAGTAAGAGCTTCAAGCGTGTCCATCCCCCAAACATTGCACATCTTACTCGTTGTGGTTGTATATACCCATCCCTTCCTCCCCCCTCCCACCCTCCCAATACCCGATAAATGTTACTCCTATATGTCCACTTAGGTGTTGATCCATTAATACCAATTTGCTGGTGAGTACATGTGGTTATCATTATTAATAATTGTAAAAGCTAAGGTATTTTTAGTCTCCAAAGTAAGTCACACATAATTTTAAAATAAAGGACAGTTTTAAAAATATCAAATAAATATGGCTTTATGGAAAAATCACAAATGTGATCCCCATCACTCTGTTTGCCTTGGGCCGATGAACATTTCATTACGTGGCTCCACGGCAAAGCGACCACTGCTGTATAGACTGAGGCCACGTCCCAGTGCCAGCTTCACTCAAGTCTCAGTCCTCATGATCCCGGATCCCAGGGCGTAACAGAGAAGGGAGAGAAAACAGGCCCTCTTTGTCCTTTATTCACATTTTCCTTTTCTACATTGCTTAGGGAAATGAACACTTTTAAGGAAAATTCTGGTTTTCTTTTTTCCTTTTCTTTTTCTTTTTTTTAAGAGATGGGGGTCTCAGTACTTTGCCCAGGCTGGACTAGAACTCTTGCCTTAGCCTCTCAAGTAGCTGAGACTACAGGTGGGCACCACTGTGCCTGGCTAAAATCCTGGGTTTCTTAACAGTCCCCATCTTTACCCTCCTTCCTGCAAGTCTTCCTCTTTAACACTTGAGTTATGTATCAGATTCAAACCAACCCCACAAAGCACCACATTCCTGTTACAGTTAAGTTCGGTTACATATCATTTAAAAAACTGAAATTTTAGTGTCTCAAAAAGACAGGAGTTTATTTCTTACCCTCGTAAATAGCCTAGGGCCAGTTTAGTGGCTCATGAAGACCCAGTCTCTCTCTTGCCATTCTGCCATCTGTAGTCCATAACTTCCTGTTTGAAAAGGGCTGTCCTCAGTGCCAGCCACTATAGCTACATCCGGATAATAGAGAGGAAGACTGGAGCAGGAGTTGGCTGCTTAGAACCACACTGAACTGACAGAATTTTGTTAAAGCTAAAACTCCGGGTTCTAGTTCTAAGGAAGAAGAGAATACTGAATATCATGAGGAAGCAGTAATTAGCAGTCTTGGGCATACAGATTTTACTCCTTTTGTTTCCAAAATATATTTGACCACTGTATTTTAGGAACATAGCTACTGTTCCAGGCTAAAAAGCTTGATAGATCATCAGAATATATATTTTTAAAAACAATAAACTTCCTAACATTCACCAAAAAAAACCCCAGCCCCACAGAACCCTTCATCCCCTTAAATATTTGCATGCCTGCTACAATGCTACAATGCTACAGGCATTGTTCTAGACAGGTGGGCACAGGTGAGAGCAAGACAGAAGGGTTCCTGCTTTTGGGGAGCTCACACCTCAGTAGGGAGACCAGCAATACACACACAAACAAATTGTAATAGGAGTTCTGAGGACACAAAGCAGGAGAGAGTGCTGGAGGGAGAAGTTCTCTCCTGTGGTTAGCGATGTGATTGAGGCAGCTGTGCAAGGACTGAGAGCACTTTGAGCTGAGGAACAGTTTGTGCAAAAGTCCTGAGAAGGGACAGAAGGGCCAGAGAGGCTGAGCACCCTGAGCAAGACGAGAGTGTGTGAGTTGCAGGTAAAGAAAGTCTGGGACCAGACTGTTTCAGGAGTCCGGATGTGTTTCTCCATATCGTGGGCGCCATCCCCAGCCCAGGCACATCTCTGTACCAGGCAGAGCCCTTGCCCATTCCCAGATTGACTGTTCATTTCTAGGAGGTCCACACAGTGCATTCTTA